TTTGTGACTGCCATAGTGGCCGTAAGGCTGTGCCTGCTGTCTTGCCTCTGTGCAGGTGACATTAAGTGGCAGAACTTATGAGGAAGTAAGTGAAGACACGTCAGCGTAGCAGGAACTGACCTTCTTCCACACTTGATAAGTGACCTTGGAGGCACGAACTCTCCTCTGACTGATCCAGGGATCACTGAAGCACACTATGAAGTGCATGTACTTTGGACAATTGTTGCCCAACACCCATGCAGACCTTTTGCTGGCACTGTGATGGTACTGGGTTTGAGGAGGGTAGGGTTACCTAGGCTAACAACTCATGATGGCAGGAATCACCTCTCTCCCCTGCAGCTGCTTAATGCCTCGTACTTCTCCTACTCTCTAGACCATCGACTCTCAAACCATGGGGACAACCCCTTTGGGGGTGTAATGGCTCTTTCGCAGGGGTCGCCTAAGGCCATGGAAAAACACAGATAGTCACATTACAATTTATGCCAGTAACAACATTACAGTTATGAAGTAACAACTGAAATAACTTCACGGGTGGAGGTCACTACAACCTGAGGGAGCGTACTAAAGGGTCTCAGCATTAGGAAGGTAGGGAGCAGCTGCAGTCCAGGCTCTTTCCTGTCCCTAGAGAAGCTGACAGGATAGATAGCCACACCACTCTGTGAGCTTTCCCAGGCTCCATGCTGGTAGGCGCTCTGGCTGAGTCGGGCAGTGAAGTATTAGCCTTCCTGGAGGTTGGGATGAGAACAAGGTGGTGGAGACGTAAGAGCTGTCCTGTCCTGATGCCTCGCCTGTTTTCCTGTTTGGGCCTAGCACAGGGGAAGTGACGCGTGCTCTTAAGGTTGACAGAGTTGAGTTGTGAATACTGCCTTGGGCAAGTCATCTGTTCAGAACCTCGTCTTTTATCATCCACAGACGAAAGAATTTTTTGCTGGGTCATTGGGAAGATTAAGTTATGTCTCTGGGCTTGCAGGCATATTTCACGGCAATGAGTATGTGGTCATTAAGGGAGAACAAATGGTAACTCACTGACATGAGCGGCAGCCACAGGCCATCTGGCTGAAGGCAGGCAAAGAGTATTTTACCAGTAGGTTTGACTTACATTAGGGCTGAACTAGACAGGAAGTTGCAGGATTCGGACCTGGGTTACCAAGGGATAGCTCCATCAAAGCAGTCTGCAGCCAGCAGGGGAGTGAGCTGTTCCAGAATGCCGAAGAGGTCACAGCTCCAGATGGACAGAGGCTTGGATGTGGAAGCAAAGAGTGATCCAGATCCAGCTTGACCTTGTCAAGCTGTTGATAAGCTAATTGCAAAGTAGGGACTCTGCTGCGCTCCTTGATGATAGTGAGAAGAGTAAGAAGCTCTTTTTCACTGTGTTGAAGACCTGCACGCCAGATTGAATAACCCGGGAAATTGTTCCTTTTATCTAACTGTGGTGGCAGATGGCACGAGCAATGAGACACAATTAAACACAACCTTTGTTCCGTTTCTGTATCTGCTCCCTGTAAGCAATTTGCTAAACAGAAACCAGCTAATACAGAGGAAATAGCTAGAAGGGGAAAAGAGTAACCAGCCTATTAGTTTTCGTTCTGCTGCAAGTTTCTTAAGATGGTTTATTTTAAAAATGTTACTCATTGCTGGGCGGTGGTAGGGTTCGTCTTTATTCCCAGCAGTTGGGAAACAGAGGCAGGCAGATCTTTGAGTTTGAGGCCAGCCTGGGAGCATGTCCCAGGACAGCTAGGGCTACATAGAGAAACCTTGTCTTCAAAAACAAAAAAAAATAAACTTATTTATCTTATTAAATTTATTTATTTGTTGGATGGGGACATGTGCATGCCATCTCATACCCGTGAAAGTCAGAGGACAACTTGTGGGAGTCAGTTCTCTCTGGTTATTAGGTTTGGTGGCAAATTCCTCTATCCATGAGCCATTTCCTCAGCTCTTGTTTATTCTTTTTTTTTAATTTTTATTTTTTATATTAATCACAGGTTATTTACTTTGTATCCCAACCATAGCCCCCTCCCTCTTGTTTATTCTCTTTAAGTTAAATTTGCTAACATTTCACAAAAGATATGTTCAAACCATGTGGTTTTTTTATGTGTGTGTGTCTGTGTCTGTGAATCTCTCTTTCCCTCTTTCTCTCTATGTCTGTCTATCTTTCTGTCTATGACCCAGGTGATCTTATTTTTAGGGAAGATGGAATGAACAGACTTTATTTTGCTCCAACTATAGGTTGCAGACAGAAAACAAATTTTTTATTTGAGTACCTGTAAATTAATAGGTAGATGGGGGGGGGGGGACAAAATTTAAGACCAAGAAACTAGCAGTGATTTTATCATGTCCTTTCTTTGCCTCAGTACAATATGGTTTGAAGACTAGAAGTGGACACTGGGCACACATAGACGGGTCCAGGGGAAACTTGTAGCTCTGCCCCAAGGATGAAAAGGGAATTCTGTATACTCTAGGTGACCCCATTTTGTCACTCTTTTATGTCCCAGAGCCCCAAATAAAGTGTTTAGTAAAAACAATGTTAAAGGGTAAATTAAACAATTCCAAAGGAGACTGAGAAAGAAAATCACTTACCATACAACAAAAAGAAAATACTCAGAAATTAATTTAACCAAGGAATTAAAGGACTAGTATGTGAAAAATCTATAAAATGGTAGCAAAATAAATTAAAGTAAATGTAGATCCATGACATTGGATTGGAAAGCTAAATACTGTTAAGATGACAGAAGTATTCCAAAGCACTTTACAGTTTTAACTCAGTTTCCATAAAAATGGCAAGAATTATTTATTTGCCAGAAAGAAAGACACCTATTGTAAAATTCATATGGAATTTAAAGAGCTCGTGAAAGGTCAAACTTTTCCTCAAAGGAGTAAATGCTTAGTTGGCATGCACAATTGAGAACATGACCATTTGGCTAGAATTCTATAGAACTAAAACACCTGGGTTACAGGGAACATGGTAGGCTTATATGAGACACAGGAGATGACCTAATTTGGCGGACAGCAAGACCTGGGTCCAAGTTGGAGATATATAAGGAATCGCACAAGATAGAGTTGTGTGAGCCAAATGAAGCGGTGTGCTCTAAGGACCCTGGACGGATCAATTTAGGCTGGGCAGTGCGCTGGGAATAGAAGGAGCTGAGGAGAGCAAAATCAGCTTGGAGAGCCAGCCAGTGGGTTATAATTGCCATATTGGGGCCCAGAGGTCTCAAAGGCCACAGTTGATAAATAATTTTGTTGCCACCACTATTAAAGAGGTAACGGGTAATTTCCAGAGGGGAAAGGGTGGATTAATAATGTGCTAGGCTTCCTGGTCTTTGTTAGGGTAAGTGAGCCAGCGTGCTGTGGAGGACACTTCTGTCTTCTTGGCTATGAGCCTGGGCTGGGGAAGCTGTTAGGGAAGAAGATCACACATATCAGCAAGACTTATCTGTGATCACAGCTGGGCTTCAAGCCCTCCACATCGCAGATGACATAAAGACCAAAGAGGAACAGGCCTCATGGCATCTACCAGGTCAGTTGAGGGAGGTAAACACCTCCCCCCCCCCCCCCCCAGAACTCAAGTGTGTACAGCGTTGATAAGCACTGCGGGCTTTTACAGTCCCCTCCAAAACTCAATTTCTGAGATGCCTGGTATCTGAAATGCAAAGCAAATAGAGGCATCAGATATAGGAGAGCAGAAGCATGACCAAAACTGTTGAAGTTAAATGAAGAACAATTTCTCAGAAGGGCAGAGGATGGATGAAGATGCCTTTTAATTTGAGGCAAATACTGTGTGGGAATCAGGGTTTAGAAAGAAATGTGTTCACTCAGACTATGAATTTCAATCAAGCAGACTGCTCCCCCCGCCCTTTCGGTTTATCAAGACAGGTTTCTCTGTGTAGCCCTGGGTGTCCTGGAACTTGCTTTGTAGACCGGGCTGGCCTCGAACTCAGAGACCTACCTCCCAAGTGCTGAGGCTAAAGGCATGTGGCACCACCACCCAGCTTTATTTATTTCTTTATTTTGGTCTTATACTACAAAATGTTGGTGAGTTATCATTATACATTTCATAAAGGAGTCTTGAAGATCACTATAAATGTTTACAGGAAAGAATAAATGGGGTGTGCTTTCTCTATAATGGGTGTTGGTGTTGGCGCAGGAGCCTGACTGGGTGTGCAGAAGCACAGGCTGATGTAGAACGAGGCCAAGGATGATTTAGTGTCCACTCAGCTTTGGTTGAGAGTTTAATTCTCCAGAGACCGATGATATTCCACATCCCAAAGACTAGTGAGTGTCTACCTTCATCTCTCTGTGTGTCTGTCAGTGCCTCTGTATACGAATGGTCCCAATAAATGATGAAGTATGTTTGTGGTTCTAATAATAAGGCCAGGGCTTTCCGAATACTAGGCAGTTTCTGTACCACCAGTCTGTCTCCAAGCCAGTGATAAAGTTATGGGATGAGGGAGAGATACTGCATTCTTCGAGCGGGTGTAGTAAGCTAACGATGTAGCCTTACATTAAAGAAGACGCATTTGAGCCTGATAGCTTACTGCTGTTTCTGAGAAAGGGAGGGGGTCCTGTGGAATGGTGGTGAGGTCTAAATCCCCGTCCTCACTTGTGTGGTATGGGCCTCTTCCACACTCCCCTTTGCACGGCTTTAAAGCAAGTTCCGTAGTGCTGGGTTAAGTCCAAATCTCACTGTAATGACAACAAGAAACATCAGATCTACAGAACTGAGGTGCCTGGCTAAAGTCTAGGAACAAACAGGCGGCAGAGATATGGATCAAAGATGATGTCATCCCTAATCCAGAGATGTTCTGCCTAAAATAGAAAAAAAAAAAAAAAAAAAAAAAAAAAAGCAAAACAGAAGGCTGATGGAAGTGAACTGAAAACCAGAACAGATAAGCAACTCATGGTTTAGGGGTACTTAAAGAATTCTGTAAACAATATGAACCCTTATTCTTCGTAGGATGTGCTGAATCATCACTTGGTACCTGTTCATGGGAAAGGCTATGGGAGGCTTCAACACCAGTTTGGGAGGAAGCTTCATTTTGGTGGGCTTCTCAGACTGGCCTCAACTAGAACTCATCTTCTTTATTTATATTTTGATCTTCTACTCTCTAACTATCGTTGGCAACACCACCATCATTGCTCTCTCCCGAATGGACCTGCGATTACACACTCCCATGTACTTCTTCCTCTCACACCTCTCCTTCCTGGACCTCTGCTTCACAACTAGCACTGTGCCCCAGCTCCTGATCAACCTTCAGGGGCATGACAGGACCATCAGCTATGGTGGGTGTGTGGCCCAGCTCTTCATATCTCTTGCCCTGGGCTCTACAGAGAGTGTGCTTCTGTTGGTGATGGCCTTTGACCGCTATGCTGCTGTGTGTCGCCCACTGCACTACACGACCATCATGCACCCCATTCTCTGCCAGGCACTGGCTATCAGCTCCTGGATGGGAGGCCTCATGAACTCTCTGATCCAGACAGGCCTCATGATGGCCATGCCTCTCTGTGGCCATCGGCTGGATCATTTCATATGTGAGATGCCTGTGTTCCTCAAGTTGGCCTGTGAGGACACAGGAGGAACAGAGGCCAAGATGTTTGTGGCCAGAGTGGTGATCGTTGCAGTTCCAGCCGTGCTCATTCTAGGCTCCTATGCACAGATTGCTAGGGCAGTGCTGAAGGTCAAGTCAGTGGCTGCACGCAGAAAGGCCACTGGGACTTGTGGGTCCCACCTCCTGGTGGTTTCTCTGTTTTATGGCTCAGCCATCTACACGTACTTACAACCCAAGGGTAGTTACTCTGAGAGCAAGGGGAAGTTTGTTGCCCTTTTTTATACTATTGTCACCCCCATGCTCAACCCTCTGATCTATACCCTGAGGAACAAGGATGTGAAGGGAGCTCTGTGGAAGGTGCTAGGGAGAGGCACAGACTAGGGGCAGGAAGGGAAAGCTGTATTCTGTAAGCGAAGTGGGTTTCAGTGGGAGAGGAAAATTGGGTGCCAAAACAACTGCAATTAATTATGTACATGCATGACACTGTTAAAGTGTACAAAAATAGAAAAACAAAACAAAAATACAGTCCTGGATGGCAAAATGGCTCAGCAGGTAAAGACACTTCCTGGCAAGCCTGAGGATCTGAGTTTGATACCTGGATTCCACATGGAGGAAGGAGACAGTCAAGTCCCCCGATCTCCATGCACAGGCGTGCGTATGTTTGTAACAAATAAATGGTCAAAATTAAAACAAGACAAAACGTTCCCCAGCAGGCACCCTGCAAGTGCATGGGTGTGGACCGTCAGCTCTGAGTGGGGCCTTGCTATCACCTCGCTTTCCCAATGTCTCATGAACCTGTCTGACTTGTGTCACTGCTCACAGCCTGTTTTTAAGGCCTCTCCTATTAGTGCTTTCCATCCTTTGCTTCGAATAAACAAGCTGATCACGAGCGGAGCTGCTTCACGTAGCTTGTGAATGTCAGACATAGTTTTCCCTGATGGAGATCAAGGCGAAATCATTCCCGCTGCAGTAAAGAAAGGTAACAAAGATCTCCTAGCAGAACTGTGAGTATCTGTTTTGCCAACTAGTGAGATTCCTTCCTGTCATAGACAAGAATGAGGAAAATGATGATACAAAATTCCAAGAACTCAGAAATTAAAATATATCCAGATGCAAAATTATTAGCCCAGAAGAAAAAATTCAGAGAACTCTAAAATTTGTATGTGTCCAGTTGCAAAACTTTATATACATTATAAATCTATATTTATATTTGTAAGAAAATTAACAATTAAATAAAAGCAAAGGAAGAGTTTGCTATTTATCACTTGACCGGACATGTGAAGACTCATTTGGGGGCTCCATTTCACTTCTCTTCATCTCTGTTTCATTTGACTGACAGAATTCCATCACTGTCATTTACTTCCATATGTTTAAATGGTGGTATTATGTTTAAAAGTGTGGGTGTCTTTGTTAATGAACTTTTGTAAATGTAATACTTTTTATGTTAAATAAATCATCTTTTATCATGAGTTTGCCCCAAGTGTGCTTATGTTTGGAACTGATTTTGCACACCTTATCATTAATGTGTTCTCAGCCTCACCAATTTTGTCATATTTATATTTTAAGTAATTCCTTCATCAATGAAAAAAAAAATACAGTTCTCATCTCAAAAAGTGTTTTGTGACTTTTCCCGGGAAGATGTGAAAAAACATCTATTGACCCAAGATGGAGCAAGTCAAAGAGGTTATTTCACCCAACTGTACCATAGTAAAGCAGGGGTTTTCTTTGGGTTCACTTACGGGAGTGGGGATGACGTGAAGGCAGCTGCATGGCCAAAAGCCCACACTGGAGCGGGGCTGACTCAGGAAGGCTGCAGCCTTGGACCCTTCTGTACAACTTGCAGCATCTCAGCCAGCCAGAGTTTCTTCTCCAGAGCAGTTGTTTCTGCTTGTGTAAATTTGGGGAAGACCCTTGTGAATCTTGTCCATTTTAGGAACTTCTTTAGACTTAGGAGTTTCATTTACATTCTGAGCTTTACGGAACCTCTTTGTACCCTCAGAGACAGAATGTTTCAATGCAGAGGAAGTAACCACCAAAGGCTACCTCTTCATTTGGTGCTTGCATTTTTGCTGTACCCTCTACTCCAAAGGTCCCTGAAAGCTTGAAGGGGGTGATGTGACTGTTTGATGGTCTTCTCCATCTAGGACTTAGGATTGGGCCACCATGTCACTTGGTTTCAGAAGCTTGGGCATTTATGAATCTGCTTTGTATTCCTTGTTGCAAAAGAAAAGTCTCCCTCCACGAACAACTGAAGCCAACAGAAGCAATGGACCAAAGGTGAGAACACACACACATGTGCACATGCGCAGGCACAAACACACACTCATAGACATACACACTTTTGGAAGATAATATGATCATCACATTACATTCATTTAAGAAAGCAATTGCCGTAGCTTCTCCACTAGAGCCTCTGACCCCCTCTCTCTGGCTTGTAGCACCATTTGCGGTCCCTGCCGTGGAGTGGACCTCAACTTCAACTGAGAAGCTGTTTACCCACAACCGTGTGTCACTGTCACACCAGTGGGGACAGCTTGCCTGGTGTTTTGGAAACATAGCACAAGCAGTTCATTCCTGAGTGGAACTGTTGGTGACAATGCTCCTCCAGAAGCCAATGTGATGCCTTCTAGCATCAAAAAAGGCAATTAGCAGGGAAGGAAGTACCAGTTTAGTCCTAGCTTATTTCCCATGTCTCACACTCAAAGCCTTTAATGTCTTCAGTAATAGTTATCATCTCTAGCATCCATCATCACCATCAACAATAGTATCATAGTGTATGAGGCCTCAAGGGCCTTTCCTGGCCCACAACTCACAGAGAAGGAGCCCATTCCTCTTATTGAAATTTGTGCCCAGCAATCTCAAGGCTTGTGAGAGTCCCTTCCCTCCCCAACCCCAGAACAGGGTTTCTCTGTGTAGTTCTGGCTATAGGCTAACACTGTGGCTCTTGAATTCCATTGGCTGCTGACAGGCCCTAAGCTGGGCAAATGATCTGTGACCTTTGCTGATTTTATGGTACGTGGTCTTAGCATATCTGTTCACCTTAGCACAGGCTTAGCATTTCTCCTGTGAACTGTCGTCAGGATTTAAACTCTTCTAGAAACTCACTAATACAGCGCTGGACTCTGTCAACATCTCACCTAGGCATTCTGGTTGACATACAGTGATATAAAAAGAATAATTTCATTAAATTTTACCTTTGCTATGAACAAATCTAGGGTATAAAATAAGGGCTACTCCTGGAGAGGACAGGAGCTCCCCAAGGACTAAATATATCTGGGCACAGGGGTCTTTCATGAGACTGTTTCTCCAACCAAGGACCATGTATGGATATAACCTAGAACCCCTGCTTGGATGTAGCCCATGGTAGCTCAGTATCCAAGTGGGTTCTCTAGTAAGGGGAACAGGGAGTATTTCTGACATGAATTCAATGGCTAGTTCTTCAACTCCCTCCCACCCCCCAAGGGAGGAGCAGCCTTGCTAAGCCACAGAAGAGGACAATGCAGCCAGTCCTGAGGAGACCTGATGAGGTAGAGTCAGATGGAAGGGGAGGAGGTCCTCCCCTCTCAGTGGACTTGGAAAGGGGCAGAGAGAAGATGAATGAGGGAGGGATTGATTGGGAGGGAATGAGGGAGGGGGCTATGGCTGGGACAAAAAGGAAATATCCTGTGATTAATATAAAAAATAAAAAAATAATAAGGGCTAAAAATAATAAGGGCTACTAATATATGAAGTAGAATTTGTGTGAGAGCAATACAAAACATCAAATTTATAACCAAGAAAATGTTTACTTGGACAAATAATCCATTTGCATGACAACAAACTTAGATGAAAATTCAGTGGAAAGAAGACATCTGGAGTATCATGAATTTGGTTGTGTTATAGGAGACGTGGAATATGGTCTCATTGAAAGGCTGATCATCTTTGGGTTAAAGTTTGGGAAGTATGAGCAACATAGTAATATAGATTTGTACAAGCCATGTAACAATCTGTGTTCTGAGGACCTGAATGGGTCATTCTGTATTGGGCATCATGTTTGGGATAGAAAGAGCTGAGGGTAGCAGATAGAGAACCGTTCAGTTAATTATAATTGGCTCAGGGAGCCCCAGAGGTCTCCAAGGCCACACTTGAGTAAACAGTCATGTTTCCACTCCTATTAAGGAGACCTAGGCAAGGCCCCAAGGGTGGGCATGGTACAGTCTGCCTTAAGGTCAGGTTGGATGATATGCCAATTCCTGTCTAGGGAGAGTTGGTTATGGTGGTGAATGAGAGAAGAGTACAGGATATTTCCTTCCCCTCAGTTATGGGCCTCAGCAGGTGAGCCTGCTGGGGAAGTTGAGCTCAGGTGAGCATGATTTCTCTAGGATCATAGCTGTGATCCAGCCTTCTCACCACAGGTGCAGCTAGGGCCAAAGAGAAATAGGTCTTCTCCATGACTTCTAGGTGACACCAGTGTGGAATGGGTTTCATATCATCTAGAAGCCAGCAGGGTTTACGAAAATGAACACATGTGCTTTCTTTCCTCAGATGGTGGTGAGTATGAACTGTGTGGGATATTTTGGATTCATGGTCCCTTTTAAAATTCAATTTCTTTGATGCCTAAGACAGAAGATGCAAAGCAAATTATAGACACCAGAACAAGGCGACAGAGACCAGAACCATCGTGAGAACTGAGGAAACTAGATGCAGAACCATGGATTACAGTGGCTGAGGATGGGAGAGGATTCTTATCTGGAGGCAGTGTTCTGTGTGGGGAGTCAGACTCTAAAATGAAATTTATTCCTTCAGACTTTGAATTGTAATTAAGGTGACGAGGCTCATTTTCTTCTCTGGTCTTACACTACAAAATGTTGATGTTATTATTAAATATTTCATAAAGCAGCCTTGACTATCACCCTAAGTGCTTAGGGCATAGAGGGAATGCGGTGTGATTTGTCTAGAGAGGGTGATGGTGTAGGCAAGAGAGAATGATTGAGTGTGTGGAAGCAGACTGATGCAGAATGTGTAGAAGATCTAGTGCCTACTCAGCTTGGATTGAGAGCTCAGTGCTCTAGGCACTGACGAGAGGGTTACATACTTAGGTGTAGAGAGAAAGAGAACTGAGTTCAAACTAAAGGATGGTTGCTTTAGTAATGAGGGTGATTAGGAAGGGATCTGCAGAATCTCCTCCTAGCCTCAGACTTTGGATTTAAGGGTGGGGGCATTGTTGGATTGTTTTTTGTTTGTTTGTTTTGTTTTGTTTGTTCTGTTTTTGTGTGGTTTTTGCTCAAAAGTAGTTCCACTGCAGCCAGACAATATTATTAACTTGGTGTATTGGTTGAAGGGTGGATTTTTATCGTTTCTGATATGAAGTACTTTATTACTGACAGCGTAGGTCGGGGTTT